CATTAACAATCTTTATATTTTGGCAATTGGTTGAGATATTAGGATAAAAAATAACTTCAATGGCGTAGTTTTTTCTATTTTCTGAAATAGAATATATTTTAAAATATCTATTATTACTCAAATATTTGAAATTTTTAACATTTAATTACCAATCCTCTGTAATATATGATCAAATATAATCAAAATGCACATATGTATATTTTTTAACGATAGAAATGGAAACATGACGTTTTATCGTCGTATATCAAAACTTTAGTTTCGATAATGCGTGATATCGCACTTGGTGTCATTGGTTGCATTTCCTGTATCGTTGTTACACACTGGAATTGTGATTACAGAAAGGATAGAGTTTCGCACGAAAACATAGGGGAGGGTATAGCGAATTGTGCTTTCAAGCTTTCGTCGTGCATCGTATACACATTCAGTGCCGGCAAAGCCTGCACTGTGGTTCGTGTGCGACCTAACGAAAGCCCAAGTACACAATTTGATAATGGGTTAGCTGTGTAACGTGCACACATTTGCCAACCGTGGTACACGCGGTATCCAGGACACACTGAATCAGTAATAACAATGTGTTTGCATAATCAATCATGCCCTTTCTCCCATTTCTTCCTCTCTTTGTCTTGTTACCATGCCATGTTTTTCAGATGCGAAAAATTGAGTAAGATGGATAATATTATCATTCGAGTCTCGAAAAATATATGCTTACTTTACCTTGTTTACCTTGCTAATAGTTGCTAATATTTTGAATATATATATTTTTTGAAAAATTATTTATCTTATGTACGTAATTATTCATTGAAAAAAAAGTTTTATCTATATTCTATTATTACATTACTCCTATTTTAACATACATTATGTTTCTTTTATTTCTTCAATTTTTCTTCTATTTTCTTCTTTTCAAATATCTATTTGCAATTTTAATAACGAATCAAAATTGAACAACAAAAGCTATTCGATGATAAGATAATTATTAAACAAATGTTAATCATAATAGCCGTAATGGAATCCAATATATTCATGAGAAGTAATAAAATTTCCATACATAATATTCCCATCTTCATAAATATTAATTATTCGATACTCTTTTTTTTAAACCTCATGATGCGATGCGTGTACATTGTCAACGATGAGCCACATTCGTCACAGGCTAATAGTATGCAAACGAACATTCCGCGAAACGTAGTATGTAAATAAATATACCATAGTCTAAATATGGAGACATCTGTCTTTCTTTCTTTCTTTCTTTCTTTTTTTTTTCCGCATCGCGTCAGAATAAGTTAATACGTCCGCGTATAAACGCAGATGAAAACGCCTCTCGAGGTTCAGGTAGCGCGGCAGAAATTTTTCTCGCGCGCTTTTACAGTACGGTGCACAGTTATACGGGAGGTTAGTTTCGGCTTGTAAAAATCTTGGCTGCAGCGGACGCAATCGGGTTCCCCATTTTTCCCTTAGGATCGCGTACAAGTAGACGGAACCACAACTGCACCAAGGTAATACCGCCATTTCTGCGGACACTTTACGCATACACCGATTCACATTCATCCGTGATTTCGTTTTTTTCCTTTTTCCTTTCAGTTAGCGTTTATGTCCGTCGTTATATCCAATTATAATCACGATTATTCGTTTAAGTGTTATTCCCAAGATGTTGATAATTGATAAATTTTTAAAATTTATCTCCTTATTTTCCAAAAAAAAAAAAAAAAAAAGTATTATTCATTCTTGTTCAAAATACTTATAATTAAATTTGATAAAATTATATATGAGAGAAAAGTCGTACGGGTTGTTTTCCATTTTTATTCTATTTGTATGCCGAGGTGTGTTTTTTTTTATAATTTTACTATTTAATTTTTAACGAAGCGTGAAACCGGAGAGAAGTCGAGTAAATAAATAAGTTGTTTTAATTAAATTATACATTTAATTAATGGAAGAATTTTTTATTCGAATGATTATTCGATGATTTTTCTATATTTAAAGTGTCTTCTATAGTTTTTAATAAGTCAAGAGCTGTTAAATTAAAATCTATTATTTCATTATAAAAGTGACCAAAAGATCAATACAATGTTTATATTTAATAATATTCTTAATAAAACTATTTAATTATCAATTAGATATCGATAATGAATTATATCTAATACAAAAAAAAAAACAATTGATAAATAAAGGAAAATAATTCTCAAAATCACGGATTTAATCAAATAATTTAATCTTCTAATCATCACACGAGATAATACGTTCATATAGATAAACTATTTAAATCTTGTTCGTAAATAGAATCATTAGGATTGGTACAAGAGTTATACAGAACACTTTGCGTATCGAAGATAGCATCGGACATAGAGATTATATTGCCAAAGGTGCGAACTATGAATTTTGTTCATTAAATACTTGGCCTGTTCTGGTACTGTGGCTTATATATGATCGTGATTTTAATGTACCCAGGGAAGTCGTACGATCCATTATCACTCTAGCCGCTGTTTCCAAGCAAAATTTCACTGGATCCCCTAGGGAATTCTGCCGCGTACATTTTGGTGGCTGCCTCACAATACCTACAATCTGTTTTCTTCCGTTTACCACTGTAATTGCGCTATTATTATGAATGCTGCGGTCCATCCTCCTACTACTCCTGTTTCTCAGGCACTTGCTACACGATTGCGAATTCTTTCCAGAAAATCATGTATCTGTTGGTAAATTTCCTTCTTGCAGAGTGGAGTAATTTTGTTGTTAATATCGATGTATGTATATATATATATTGGGGTTATAAATGTAGAACATTATTTTGCAGATAAGGAAACGAGCTAATTCGAAGGGAAAATAGCTGTTTAATTTGTGTTAATCTCTAAATTTGATCGGTTTTATGTCTATGCATATCGTTAATTGTTGTAAAAATTACATTAACAAAGATTAGGAATGTTTAAATTTTTATTAAAAAAATGATTATTTATTTATGAAATAAATTGAAAGATATTAATGTAAGGTATTATTTATTTATTTATAAAATTATATTTTTAAGTATTTTAAAACTGGTTTAAATTGATCATATTAATATGACACGTTAAAGATTTATTTATATTTAATTTTTTAAATAGTGTCATTCTTTTTTTTCTCTCTTTATGTGTTTACATGAGATGATTATATAAGTTGGTTTTTATTTTATTCACGATTATAAAAATAGAATCTTTAGAGACAAGATATTAAATAAAATCCTATCATGGAAATAATAATTGTTTATATTATATAATAGAATTTAATTAAACTTTGCAACTCTAAGGAATATATGTACATTTTGCTTTATTTTTATTCATCTTTGAAATGAAATATCAGCTTTTCAAATTTTTTTATTATATTTATATTTTTTATTATATTATATTTTTATTATATTTAAATTAAGAATTTTAATTATTCGATTCAACAAATGATTATGATCTTGAAATGATTTTGTACTAGGAAATTAGTATTAAGTAACGACTCATCTTCCATCAGAAAGTGTTTTGATTTCTTTCACTTTTTCAAAGAAAATAAAATCTTTTTTAACAGAAATATTGAAACACAATATTTTAGTTCAAAATTATTTTTAATGAAAATCATATTGAATTTTTCTTAAAATCGATCTATAAAAAAATCAAGGTGATCTTAACTTTTTATCGAAATTAAACTTTTTTCAAATTCCTAATGATGTTGATTAACTTTTATTGGAAATATTTTTTTATTAGACTATCAGAAGTGCATAAAAATCATTAAATTTTAAACTAATCTTCTAAATCAGATTGCATTTAAGAAAAATTTCTTAGAAAAAGATATCTACTATGATTGAATCATTCATACAGATAGTATATTTGAATCGGTCAAAGCTTCTCAGATATACGTATTCGAATCTTGTATTATGTACACAATATTATCAAAACAAAAAGTAAATGGACGTAAATGTGTCGATAAGATAAAGATTAAAAAAAAAAATTATCAAATATACGTAACATTTAATTTAATGTTGCGAGATATAATTTTTATTATCAATATGAATCACTATATTATTTTAAGTATTCGATGTAATACTTGGATTATCTTCAAGAATTATTGCCTTTTGATTTTCATACTTATTTAGATTCATAATTTTCTTTTGAAAGAAAGAAAAATTCATTTAATTTTAAGAGTTTTAAATATCGCGATACGTCAAAACGATCTAGTAACATTTTTTAATAATTTATCAAAGTATGATATTTTATTTTTCTTGTTACTACCGGCAACAAGAAACCGAGGACGTGGTAATTAGAACGATAAAACAAGCAACCCGATTCTGTTTCAGACAGACCCAATATACCCTGTTGCCAAAGACTTCGTTCCTTATCGAGACATCGAAAACTTGTTTACCCCATGTTTTGCAGTGAAATAGCTGTGGCATGATTTTTTTTCTCGGCAAACTTTGGCGAACAAAGTTTCAAACTTATAATCGTAGCCATATTTCGCTCGACGTTTTAGTTTCGTATGATATAAACGATGCACTTACTTCCTTTTCTTCTTATAACTGCTATTTCAAACTATGTTCTCACTTCTGTTTCTCCATGTCAATAATCTCGTATTTCGAGGAATCTATGCACTATAAATACAAATATATATCAAGAAAAAATAACATCGATTCAAAATTTCAGATTCGATTTCTTTCACATACCTAACCTTTAATTCGTCCGTTTGACAAATTATATAAATAAAAGTTTATCGTCTACGAATTGAATTTTCCACATTTAATCGTTTCACCTTTATGACTTTCTTTCTTTTTCTTGATCATCGCACAAAAAAAAAAAAAAAAAGACAGATTTATTAAAACGACAAACTCTTTGATTTT